TCTCAAAATATTTATATTTTGAACTATTTTTCTTTGGGGATCTGGAAAAATAATAATTATGAAATTTTCCTCAAAGGGAAATTTTTATTAGTGAACAAATTTCGAAATTTCATACAGTTTTAGGTTCACCTCATTAAAAAATACCAATTTCCGTTGAAAACAAAAATTTCCCTAAAAATATGCCAAAAGGGAAATTTTTATTTTTTACTGAAAATTGACTTGCTATTCATCGGAGAATCTAGAAAAATCAAAATTATGAAAAATATCTCAAAAACCAAAATTTCCCTTCGAGAGAAATTTTTATTTATGCACCAAATATCAAAATTCTTTCAGTTTTAGGTTTATTTCGTTGAAAAATGCCAAATTCCATTGAAAACTAAAATTTCCCTAAAAATATCGCCCAAGGGAAATTTTTATTTTTGGATAAAAATTGACTTAGCATTCATCGGAGAATTAAAAAAAAATAATAAAAATTATAAAAATATCTCCAAAATCAAAAATCCCCTTCGAGGGAAATTTTTTTTATTTGAGGACAACATTTATTTCTTTTTTTATTTTTAAGTTAATCTTAAAGAAAAATACACGGAATTTTTTTTTCAAAAAGATTCCCAAAAATTTTTTTTAATTTTTTTGTTCCAAAGAGGAAATTTTGAAAAACCTATTTTTTTATTCATAAAAAATGTCCTTTAAGTGTATCTACTTTTATTTCCCTTAATATCCCTTAATTATATTTTTGTTTGTTATTTTATTTTTAATTGCCATAAATCAATTTCGAATTTTTTATATGGACACGATTTTGGCATTTAAAATAAAATATCCCCTTCTCCTCTCTACATTTCATTTTCTACCAACCAGCCAGCCATCCTTTCTCCCCCTTTGTCAATTTATTTCCTTTCAAAACTCCTAGCCCTCTAAAAATAACTCACACACACATACTGGCACACTCTCACAGAGACGTAAGAAACGAAAAAAAAATTCCCCACTCATATCCTGGCGACAATGTCAAGGACCCTCTTAATCAGCAGCTTTTAAGTACCTAGCCTTTTCTACACAGTTCGTTCTCACTGCAAAATGCCATGACTAAATATACACATGAAATGCATATGGAAAAGGACTCTCAGGCATACACTTCTCAAACAGTCGCTAAATGGTCCTGTGCCTAAACAGGATATTTTTGAAGGAAGCTCCGGAAAACAAGAAGTTCAAGTTTTGTGTTTATTTTTGTTGCTGTTTTTGTATTGCATTTGCATTTTGTAATGGGATATTTTGTTGTTGTTGGATATTTTGCTGTTGTTGTCTTTATTGTTATTATTTTGCCTTGTTATCCTTAAGCAATAACCGTTTGTTTTGGGGTTAAACAAGAGAGGAAGTTATGGAATTTTATTTAGGGGCTAGAATAATGAAATTATTAATTTTTAATAAGGCGATTATAAAGTGGTGTATGCCAAAATAAAAAAGGACCAAAGAATCCCTAGAATATAGGACTAAATAATTAATTTGTCCATTAGGATTAAAAAAAATTATCATTAATTTTTCTACTTCCAAAATTGTTTACCATATTCCATATTTTTCTCTAAGACAATAATTTCTAATACTTTAAAAATTATCCTTCGGAATCCTTGTAAATAAAATGATATCCTTAAAATAGGATGTTTCATATTTTCAACAAAATACATATTTTTCTCTGCCCTCTTTTGGTACTAAATTTCCTAAAGGTGTTTTCCTTTTAGTACCACGATAAAGTGTCCTGGCTGCTGTAAATTCAGCGAGTTCACAAACCATCTCAACTTTCCAACAGTTAAGACAAAATCCTTACAATTCAACTAACAACTGGTGGTTAAGTGTGATGAATATGGAGGAACGTCTACACCCAGTAGGAAAAATTATTTTAAATTAGGGAGCATATGTTTTCGTATTGTTTTAAAAAAATATATATTTTTTAAAGGAACACAAGTTTGAATTCTTTAAAAATTGTTTTAAAGAGTTACCTGGAAGTGTTACCATTATTTTTACGTTACAACAATAGCTGTAGATTTCAAATAATATTTTTTATTATTTTCAAAAATATATTTTTTTCCGTGACAACAAAAAGCGTGCATTTCAAAAGCCAGCTGGATATGAAGATTTTAGAAATATTTTCCCTGACCTATCATAGTTTGGATTTTTTAAAATATCTTTTCGTGGATCGTACATAATGGCATAATCATTTTAAAAACATTTTTTCATGAACATAACGCGGATTTTTTCCAGTCATTTTTTCATTGCTCTACCATTGCCTTGATTTTTTCATTTTTTTTTTCTAAATACACCGGCTTATGAAATTATTTGAAATATATTTTTAATAAGTAACAATTCCGATAGACCAAACTTTTAATACCCTCCTAAAATCGTTCGGTCATTCATGCTCTGAAAAAATTTTCCAAATTACAGACTCAGTTTGCAAAACAAGGAATACCAACAAACAGAAAATTAAACGGGACATTTGTATTGGAGCTATTGAAGATTTTCTTATATGGATGTCATACGCCAACGTGCTATGTCAAATGATGTATATTGGGATGAAGCTTTATGTGGGGCTATATTAAAACTTGGGCCTATATACACAATCGAATAAATTACAGCCACTAATCGATTCAAAAATACAGAAAATTTTTGTATGTCAAATGATGTATTTATAGTAGGGATAAGTAAATCGACTTTCGACTAATCGATTAATCGACTTTTTGTATTGAAAATCGCAAAGTCGACTTTTCATGATCGACTTTCGATTTTCTTCATAAATTCTTGGTTTATTATCACAAAGCCGAAATTGTCCAAAAACACATTCCAAAACTTTTTTCATCTGTTGACAACAATTCTTATAAAAAATTAAATATTTAGTCGATTTTTCTTTAGTTGGTAAAAGTCTAAAATCGATTTTGAACAGGTTTGACAAAATCGAAAGATCGAAAAGTCGACTTTATAGTCAAAGGCAAAAATCGAAAAGTCTAAAAATCGACTTTTGCGCTCGACTACGTATCCCTAATTTATAGTGACAATTTCCTATATATATATATATATATATGTCAACCTTTAGGATCCCTTTAAATCAAATAGCAGGAACATTAGTGGTATAAATGTGGCTAAAGCCTTCAAAATACGGAAAATTCGTCGGTGCGGTTATTCGGGAGCTATATAAAAATGTTAATAGATATATAAATACTATTTGGTAGGAAGATTTTAAATGCCATGAGAACAAAGAAGATCAAATTGGAGCCAAATCATTGAATAAAATAAAAATTTAGTCACTTTAGGTTTTGGTTGATTTGACCCTCGAAATATTGTCCGATCATCATCTAAATAGCCGTTCAAAGTATTTGATCAGATGCCCTTCACCGTGTAAAATATGTGGCGTTCTTTATATAATAAAGAGACTAGAAAATCTGACAAAAAATAAAGTTTTCCGTTCATTGCACCCCCTAAATATCATCTCAACATCACCGAAAATTACAGGCATCGCCTTCAACCAAAATCGGAACTTCATGTAAAATTTCAAAGCGATCAGTGCGACATTTCCACACTCTAGTGGGGTTATCATAAAACATAAACATCTTTAACTCCCACATCCAAAGACATAGAACAACATCATTGCTATCAATTTAAAGGTCAACAACTCCTCTCCAATATATGGACTTCAGGAGTAGATATATACGCCATAGAAAGAAAATTTTACCATTATTTCTTTCTTTGGCCAGAATCCCTACCAGGAGTAACATTTCGTGATATTCGGGTCATAATTCTGGCCTCTAGAGCGTCCTGGAAAATCGATAAAAAAAGTGTTTGGTCCATTTCATCGCATAAATATTAATCGATCATAACCAAAAACAAGAGGGGTCTTCATTGCCATAACCCGCCCTACATGTCAAATTTTGGGATGATTGGTATATAACGATGGTCTGTAGCGTGTCTAGAAATTATACTAGACAGACGGACGGACGGACGGAAGGACACACTTATCTAGATCGACACAGCTAGTCGAGATATTACGTTCGGCATAGTAAACGATGGCTCTAGGACCAATTATTCGCTACGTCACAAACACTTGGTGTTCGCACAAAGCTACAATACCCTCACAACATAGTTGTGTAAGGTATAAAACTGCTTTTGGAGGGACCATGACAAAATATTGTTTAAAATATTAAAAAACATATTTTTTGAAAAATTTTTAGTCCGCAATTAGGCTAGGCCATTAAAAATATTTTTAGGAAATCTACGCTTAGGATGGGATCATGAAAAATACTATTTTATAAAAATTCACAATTAGGATAGTAATTTGTTTTTTTTTTTTTTAATTCCACACTAAAGGATAGTATTTTAAGAAAAGTATACGTAAATTCAGTCCTAAAAATTGAGCCGGAAAACATTTTTAAAAAGTCTACTTGTATATATTCTATTTTGTAAATTCCACTATCTTCTGTAAAAAATTCCACATGGGAAAGTTTCCCAATTTGTTTTGTTTTTTATTTTTATAAACCACCCTGTGTTCATGATTTTCTCACCAATACCGTTCACTGATTCCATTTTCACCTCACTTGGCCGGAACATGAACCACTATTCACCACTTTGGTCTGGTATCCTGGATAACTTAGTTAGGGTTGGTAGCTAGGTTAACCAAGGCCCACCTAATACCAAATATTCGGCTGTCTTTGATTTTCTCGCGTATTTTTGTTGTAATTTTTCTAATCCAAATTCTTTTCTTCATTCTTCTACTTTTTTTAGTTTTTTTGTTATCCCCGAAAATCACCGCAACCCCCTCTAATCCTCATTCAATGCTAAAGTGGACACGACAACAACAACGCCAATCTCTTCAACTCTTACAGTCTACACTATCTCCCTCAAATCCTGCAGCCAAAAATCTTCCCTCTCACTCTCTGAAAACCACCGCTAAGCGACATTATTCTAGTGGCAATTTTAAACCAATCTCAGGAAAATCGCAAAATCCTCCCAACAAAATGCCCACCATGACTGAAACATTGGAGAGACGTTTACTTCGCCGTTCCTTGGATAATCATTTGGATAGCCCTCTGGATGATCGTAGACGTCGTTCATCGCCCCGCCATTCTCTGACGGGAAATCATAATAAGGAAAATTTTGGAGTGCATTTTGTTCGACATTCCTTTGGTAATACGAGTCTTAGTGCTCTGCAGGATCTCAGTAATGGTAAAAGTCCACGAAGGCCGCAGGAGGAGACTCCGCCAGCGGGACCCACCATACACATTAAAAGACGTAATTTGCGGCGGGTTTCGATGAACTTGGAAAGGACACCACAATCAAATGATCACATGGGATCACGTTTTTCCGATGATTTTGCCAATGAGGAGGATATAACCCCCTTGGCACGTTTGAAGTTTCGTAATAAAATTAAAGAGGATTCGCTATCCTCATCGAGGATGGGTGATGTTACCTTGGATAGGATGTTGGATGCCATCATAGAGAGTGCCAGGAAAGATGTTAAAACTGTGGAGCCACCTAGGACCCCAGAAGCGGAACCCAAGGATGTGGATAAAGATGAATCGATACATGAAATGGAGGTTAGGACACCTCAACACCTGAAACGCCAACGAGTGGTAAGACGTAAAAATCCCAAAACTACGGATAAAAAGGCGAACAAAGAAAAGGCAAAAGAAAGGAGGGTACAAGAAATGAAAAAGGAGGGGGAAGGGCAAACCTCTCCTCCCCACACTTTGAGATCTCAATCACGCCACGAAATGATCGGCTTAACCTTGCCCAATGGCATACCCAGCCCCGAAACTCCTGAGGCCGTGCAGCATTATGCCAATCATAAATCGCTGCTGAATATGACAACACCACCACCTGCCTCAGAACGACAAGAACAACAGATGCTCTTTGAGGTGGGCAATAGTGTGGCTGTCCATTGCAGTACACCCACCTTGGCTTTGGAGGGCCACTCCATTAAACGTTGCTTGAGTTTTTCTTGTGCCAGTGAGGAGGATGCTGAGGAGGGCAGTTATAGTAAACGGGGATCGATAACCTCTTCCATTGCTAGTTCAACAAATGAACAGCTGAGTGGCAGCTGTTCTTCTTCTTCCAATTCGCTCTCAAATGTAGCCGGAGGAGCAGGAGTGGGACGTGGTTCGCTGGATGTGGCCATTTATTTGGATAATGAAACATTAAATGTACACGGTGAGTTCCAAGTTTAGAACACAGCAATTTTCGCCAATTTCCTCTCTGTGGGGAGAGGGAGAGAAATAATTGCCATTCTCTCTTTGCAGAGAGAAATAATTTTGTATACAAATTTATCTCTCTCCAGAGAGAGAAATATTTCCTATAGACAATTTTCTTCCCAGGAGAGGCATATTTTCTTAAGAAAATTTTCTCTCTCCCCTATAGAAAATTTTCTCTCTCTGGGGAGAGAGATATATTTTTTATAGAAAATTTTCTCTCTCTGGGGAGAGAGATATATTTTCTATAGAAAATTTTCTTTCTCTGGGGAGAGAGATATATTTTCTATAGAAAATGTTCTTTCTCTGGGGAGAGAGATATATTTTCTACAGAAAATTTTCTCTCTAGGGAGAGAGATATATTTTCTATAGAAAATTTTCTCTCTCCCCAGAGAGAGTGACATATTTTCTATAGAAAATTTTCTCTCTCTCTCCCCAGAGAGAGTGACATATTTTCTATAGAAAATTTTCTCTCTCTCTCCCCAGAGAGAGTGACATATTTTATATAGAAAATTTTCTCTCTCCCCTGAGAGAGTGACATATTTTCTATAGAATATTTTCTCTCTCCACTGAGAGAGTGACATATTTTCTATAGAATATTTTCTCTCTCCACTGAGAGAGTGACATATTTTCTATAGAAAATTTTCTCTCTCCCCTGAGAGAGTGACGTATTTTCTATAGAAAATTTTCTCTCTCTCTCCCCAGAGAGAGTGACATATTTTCTATAGAAAATTTTCTCTCTCTCTCCCCAGAGAGAGTGACATATTTTCTATAGAAAATTTTCTCTCTCTCTCCCCAGAGAGAGTGACATATTTTCTATAGAACATTTTCTCTCTCCCCTGAGAGAGTGACATATTTTCTATAGAAAATTTTCTCTCTCCCCTGAGAGAGTGACATATTTTCTATAGAAAATTGTCTCTCTCTCCCCAGAGAGAGTGACATATTTTCTATAGAAAATTTTCTCTCTCTCCCCAGAGAGAGTGACATATTTTCTATAGAAAATTTTCTCTCTCCCCTGAGAGAGTGACATATTTTCTATAGAAATTTTTCTCTTTCCCCTGAGAGAGTGACATATTTTCTATAGAAAATTTTCTCTCTCCCCTGAGAGAGTGACATATTTTTTATAGAAAATTTTCTCTCTCCCCTGAGAGAGTGACATATTTTTTATAGAAAATTTTCTCTCTCCCCTGAGAGAGTGACATATTTTCTATAGAAAATTTTCTCTCTCCCCAGAGAGAGATATATTTTCTATAGAAAATTTTCTCTCTCCCAAGAGAGAGATATATTTTCTATAGAAAATTTTCTCTCTCCCCAGAGAGAGATATATTTTCTATAGAAAATTTTCTCTCTCCCCATAGAGAGATATATTTTCTATAGAAAATTTTCTCTCTCCCCATAGAGAGATATATTTTCTATAGAAAATTTTCTCTCTCCCCATAGAGAGATATATTTTCTATAGAAAATTTTCTCTCTCCCCATAGAGAGATATATTTTCTATAGAAAATTTTCTCTCTCCCCATAGAGAGATATATTTTCTATAGAAAATTTTCTCTCTCCCCATCCTTTTCTCTCTCCCAGAGATTTTTTCTATAGAAAATTTTCTCTCTCTCCCCAGAATTACTATAGAAAATTTTCTCTCTCTGGAGAGAGATATATTTTCTTCAGAAAATTTTCTCTCTCTGGGGCTAGAGATATATTTTCTTTAGAAAATTTTCTCTCTCTGGGGAGAGAGATATATTTTCTTTGGAAAATTTTCTCTCTCTGGGAATAGAGATATATTTTCTATAGAAAATTTTCTCTCTCCATCTCCCCAGAGAGAGTTTCTCTTAGAAAATTCTCTCTTTTTTATATAAAAATATTTCTCTCCGTTCTCTTTGAATCTCTCAACTAAATATCCTTTGTTTCTCTCTCCCTTTCCAGTTATTCGTTGTCGTGATCTGCAACGCCCCAATGGCAGCACCTCATCCAATAATCTCAATGCCTATGTCAAGGTGGCTTTGATCCGCCAATCGCAATCCCAAAATCAATGCTATCAACGTACCGTGGTCCACCGCCACTCCAATCGTCCCTACTTCGATCATTGTTTCAAATTCGATCTCAGCGATTTGGCAGCAGCCGTAGAGGAAATCAATCCCGACGATCGCCTACAAATGTCGGTGTGGCATCGTGATCGCCAGCATAAGTGAGTATGATCGTAGTTGCTCAGGCATAGACATGATAAGAAAATAAAATAAAAAAAAGGCTTTTGTTAAAAACGAAAATGAAAACGCGTACTAGGCAAAACTCAAACCGGAATTTATCTTTTTTTAGACTTAAAACTAAATTGTAGTTAAGAAAAATTGAAAAAAAAATCTAAAAAAAAATTGAAAAATTATTTGAAATTAAAAATTGAAAAAAAAAACAAAACCAAAAGTGTTTTCTTTTTTATTTGTAGATTTAGTTTAGAAATTAAATTTTGTAAATTGTTTGGAAATTTGGTGTATTTCACTTCCTTACAACCTTATCCTCCTTCATACCTCCAGTGTTACTCCACATGCTCTGCTTGTGTACCAAAAAAACAAAAAAAAAAAAAAAAAAAAATTAATGTTGGCTCTTGGGTCTCATTAAGTACTTGAATATTTTTTTTGCCTCTCTAATGGTTGCCAGCCCACTTTCCCCCCCAGTTCCCTCCTCTCCTATTCTCCCCCTTCCATCCTTGTATTTATTGTTGTATTTGTATTTGCCTCTCTCCCTGCCCGACAGGGATAACTTTCAATTTACTTGGTAACAATTTTTTTCTTTTGCTTTTTTGGTCGTCTAGTCACAAAAATTATTTAATTATTGTTGTCGCTCTTAACAAATCCTTTAAATAGGTGCTTACTCTCCTTCCTCCCCTCTCTTGTGCTCCATCTCCCTCTTGCGCCTTCACTTCCGCTAAATTTAATATTTTCCATGCTTTATGACGTCGTCGTCGTCCTCTTTGGAAAGGTACAACGTGCTGATGATGACGACGATAATAATTTCACCGGTTGCTGGCGATGATTACCTTTTCAAAGGTGTGTGTGTGGGTGTGAGTGTGAGGGTCATTTCTTTATGTGGCTCTTCAAAAATGGTAAAAAAGGGAAGATTTTTGTTATGACTCCCATGGAGTCACTTCAGAGATCTAATGACATTTTAACAGGACATTTATTTATTTGAGGGAGTGTGTGAGCAGATTTGACTAAAGGTAACTGGTAGACAATAATGACAGAAATTTATGACAGAAGCGGATTTTACGTGAGGGTCTTAGAAACACACACTTACCTTTTCTTGGCCAAAAGGTGAGAGAAAGGGATTGGTGGCTTTGAAGAGGTGCAAGGGTCAGATGTATTTCTAAGGGAGTTGTACCGTGTATTATTAAAAAAATATTTTTTATGGCCTACCTTTAGGCTTGAATTTTTAAATAATATATCTTATGGCCTTCTTTTAGGCGTGGATTTAAAAAATATATAGTCTATTGTTAGGCATAGATTTCTTAAAAATATTTTTGGTCTACTTTTAGGCGTGGATTTTTAAATAATATTTTTTATGGTCTACCATTAGGCTTATATTTTTAAAAAATATTTTTTATGGTCTACCATAAGGCGTGGATTTTTAAAAAATATTTTTTATTTTCTACCATAAGGCGTGGATTTTTAAATAATATTTTTTATGGTCTACCATTAGGCGTGGATTTTTAAAAAATATTTTTTGAAGGTCTACCATTAGGCGTGGATTTTTAAAAAATATTTTTTGAAGGTCTACCATTAGGCGTGGATTTTTAAAAAATATTTTTTGAAGGTCTACCATTAGGCGTGGATTTTTAAAAAATATTTTTTATGGTCTACATCTAATTATTTTTTCATGGTCTTACCTTAGGCTTGGATTTTTAAATAATATTTTTTATGGTCTACCATTAGGCGTGGTTTTTTAAATAATATTTTTTATGGTCTACATCTAATTATTTTTTCATGGTCTTACCTTAGGCGTGAATTTAAAAAAAATAATTTTTCAAAGCCTATCCTTTGGCGTGGATTTAAAAAATTAGTTTTTCAAAGCCATAGGTGTGGATTTTTTACAATTAATTTTTCATGACCTACACTATGGTAGGATTTTTTTATACCCTTCACCACACTGTGGTACAGGGTATTACGTCTTTGTGCATATGTTTGTAACAGGCAAAAGGAAGGATTTTCCTTTTGATACCAAGTCGCATTTATGATCCGAATTGGATGAAATTTGGCACAAATAACTTATTTGGCCCAAGTACAAACCCTATTGAAGAAAATCGGTTCAGATTTAGATATAACTCCCATATATATGTTCGACCGATTTATGATAAATAGTGTACCAATGTCCCTAAATATCTTCCGATTTGCACGAAATTTGGCATAGCGCATTTTCTTGAAAATCGGTTCAGATTTAGATATAACTCCCATATATATGTTCGACCGATTATATGGAAATTGTTCACCAATGTCCATATATATCTTTCGATTTCCACGAAATTGGGCATAGCGCACCCAATTGAAACACAAATGATATGTGTACATTTTCTTGAAAATCGGTTCAGATTTAGATATAGCTCTCATATATATGTTCGACCGATTTAAGGTAAATGGTGTACCAAAGTCTCTATATATCTTTCGATTTGCACAAAATTTGGCATAGCGCACTCAATTGAAACAAGAATGATGTGTGTAAATTTTCTTAAAAATCGGTTCAGATTTAGATATAGCTCCCATATATATGTTCGAACTTTATATGGGAATGGTTAACTAAAGTCCCTATATATGTTTCGACTTCCACGATATTTGGCAGTACACTATGCCACACACTTGAGTCTAGAATGATGTGTGTAACATTTCTTGAAAATCGGTTCAGATTTCGATATAGCTCACATATGTATTTTCGTCCGATTTTATGTAAATGGTGCACCAAAGTCCCAATATATATCTTTCGATTTGCACAAAATTTTACATAGTATACTGGATTGTGTCTCGAATGATGTGTGTCAAGTTTCGAGAAAATCAGTTCAGATTAAGATATAGCTCCCATATATATTTTCGCCCAATTTAAGGTAGATGGTGTACCAAAGTCCCTATATATCCTTCGATTTCCACGAAATTTCGCACAGCTTACTGAATTGAGTCTAGAATGATGTGTGTGACATTTCTTGAAAATCGGTTCAGATTTGGATATAGCTCCCATATATAGTATTATCCGATTTTATGTAAATGGTGCACCAAAGTCCCTATATATCCTTCCATTTGCAAGAAATTTGGCATAGCGTACTGAATTGACACTAGAATGATGTATGCACATTTTCTTGAAAATCGGTTCCGATTTAGATATAGCTCCCATGCATAATTTCGACCGATTTTATGTTTATGGGGTATTAAGGTCCCTATATATCTTTCGATTTGCACAAAATTTGTCATAGCGTCCTGAATTGAGTCTAGAATGACGTGTGTCAAGTTTCGTGAAAATCGGTTCAGATTTAGATATAGCTCCCATATATATTTTCGACCGATTTAAGGTAAATGGGGCTCCAAAGTCTCTATATATCTTTTTATTTGCACGGAATTTGGCATAGCCTACTGAATTGGGTCTAGAATAATGTGTGCTAAGTTTCGTGAAAAACGGTTCAGATTTTTATATAGCTCCCATATATATTTTCCTCCGATTTTTTGTAAATGGTGCACCAAAGTCCCTATATATCTTTCGTTTTGTACGAAATTTGGCATAAGATACTAAATTAGGTTGAGAATGATGTGTGCTAAGTTTCGTGAAAATCGGTTTAGATTTAGATATAGCTCCGATATATCGTTTTTTCCGATTTCATGTAAATGGTGCACCAAAGTCCCTATGTATCCTTTGATTTGCACGAAATTCGGCATAGGATTCTGAATTGAGTCTAGAATAATGTGTGGTAAGTTTCGGAAAAAGAAGATTTCGATATAGCTCCCAAATTGAGACCAGAGATGGCCTGTCAGAAACTGTGACGTAAATGACATACATTTCCGACGTATAATACATACGTCTGAAACGTGGGAAACCTACCTAAATCCATTAGGTTTTTGACAAAATAGCTATTTCCATTAATCGATTTGGAAATTACGCTTGCTTTACTCAAATTAATATAAAACTTCCAATTTTTCTTCTCAAAAAAATTTAGAAATTTTTATCAGTTCTAGTAAGGAATAGTCAGATATATTTAAAAAATAATATATATATATTTTTGAAAACAAGTGTATATGCTGATAATATTGAAATAAATGACGTTTACTACATTTATTACATTTTATACAGGTATATGACGTTTTCGACGTTTACATCTTTTTGACAGTCAAAAACATAAAAATTCGTCATACGGACCATCCCTGATTGAGACTTGAATGACGTTATTGCGATTTGTTGAAATTGGTACAGGTGCAGCCATAGCTTCCACATGTATTTCGAGCGGGTGTCTGATGATACATTTTCAACAGTGAGACGTACCGAATAGAGTGTATATATTTTGCTATAAATAGTTTTCCATAAATTTGCCCCATGGTACGCAGACGACTCTAAATCTGACCGATTGCTTCGAGGCAACAGCGACAGACAATTGTAAGGATATGTATGTACAATATACCCAAAGTGGTGAATGTTATCATATAGTCGACCCAGTCCGATTTTACTACTTTCCTTACTGGTTTAAAACTATTTTGTGGAGTCGGAATTTAGGCGTGGATTTTTGAAAAAATATTTTTGTAAGATCTATTTTTAGGAGGCGTGAATTTTTTAAACATATTTTTGTAAGGTCTACTTTTAGGCGCGGGTTTTTTAAATATATTTTTTAATCAACCTCCAATAAACCACTATCCTTTATGCTCCCCCTTCCACTTCCTTTGTTTGAAAAGAACAACCCCTAAATATTCGCAAACATAAACAAATCTCCGGTTTGTTGTTTTCGTTGCAAAAACACATGTTGTGTGTTTTGAATAGGAAAAACAACCAAAGACCGGTAATAAAAATTGGCAAAAAATAACAGCACATGCTTTCAATAGATTCCAATGGTCTCTCTCGCTCTGAGTAAAATAGAATCCAGGTAATGCCAATTTTGACGCATTGAAAATTGAAATAAGAACCACAAAATTTGTAAGGCGCATGTCTCCCAAAGAGAGAAAGTCATCCATGGCCAGCAGGGTGGCCATAG